AAATAAAATAAAAAAAATAAAATTGAGCAATCATATAACATGATTGATACACATACAACATGATGAGCTAGACATGTGGCAGGGGGATTGTATGTATTAAAGCTGTGGGTTGCTTTTGTTTTGTGTGTGCACCTATGTGTTATCATTTCGTTTGTATTTGGCATCGGCAATTGTCAATGACCAGGCGACGACTCGGTACCAGTCAATGTTGGCATAATGGACCGCAGATATACCTATCCTATCTCCGATCTATAGATCTCCAACCACCACCTCCTGACAGTGTGAGAAATACACACAAGGCCAGATACTGTCCAGTGACTGACATTAGGGATTATGGTGCACTTAAATGTGTCTCTCGCTTACATCAGCATGCAAAGCATGCAAAGTGTCCCACCCTCAGTCTAAGACCTGCCTACGCTTTGTGACCTCACTGCACCTCGCAAGGCTGTTTATATGCCATATGCCTATGTTTTCCTCCATCCTCTATCAGGATCAGAGAACTCTGCTGGGGTGGTTCCATTTACACACATATAGTATTAAATATAGTTTTTAATCTCCGCCGATCCCCATTAAGCTAAAGCAGTATTTATAACAGCAGATTTTTCTCCAATCAACCACCTCTTGGGATTAGGGATAATATCTGGAGTTAAAAAGAAAGTTTCTGAATGCTGTTAGACCAACTGTTGCCTGACACAATGCTGAAACTTCAAGGTGCGACAAAATAACACTACAAGAAAAAAGGATGTTAAATTTAAAGTAACCATTGCTGCAAAAGTTGGTTAAGTTACATGCAAAGCAGTTTCCTTCACCCCCCGACATTGTTTATATGCTCATCATGACTGTAACTGTAGCCTCTCTCACATGGCAGTGTTAGTGATGTGATTATGTTACTTCTTAGTTAACATCCTTTGTAAACACTCATACAGATATTGAATTGTGAATTGAGTGTCTACCCGGCCAAATATGTCTCATCCAATGGTGTGGGTAACATGAAGTGCTGCTACTCAACAATAGACAGGTGTGCTGGTCTAAAGAAAGTCCAGGAAGGTATCAAGTGGGTTTATCTGTTATTAGATGGAGGTATGGATCCAGCCCAAACTGACAAACCTCCATCTTTCTCTTTGGTTTATTTCCTTCCCCTTACTTACTTTTGTTAAACTTCATATTAGTTGTCATTGCCCATGAATCATGTTCTTTTCTCAAATGTCTGGTTCAACAGAATAAACAGAATAGAATATTACTTACGTGGAAAACCACACTGCTTCATTAACTTCTTCTTGGACACCACCTTCATGGCCTAGGAAAGCAGAAAATGATTTCGATCATACAGCACATTCACATACAGCCAGTGTCAACAGGAAAGTGAAGCCTGTATATAGAAGCATTTATCAATCAAGAAGAAAACAGAACTAGACCTATATGTGAACATACCAATACAACAAAATTAAATAAACTTTTAGTGAAGACAAATGTGAATGTACATGAAAACAAAAAAATAATACAATGAAACAGCTTGAAGATTTAACTAGAAACATCATCGCCCTAACATGTGCCTTCCTCATAGCGAGGATGCTTTAGTGTCAATGGATGTCTTATCTGTGTTATTATCCTTTGTAAAAGGTCAGCAGAGAACAGAACAGATAAGTCTGAGGCAACTAAAACTTTCACGGAAAAGAGCATCTATCGGTTCTTTAAGGACAACTATGTTTTTGTGTGTTTATGTGTGTGTGTAAGAGACACAGAACAAACCCAAAGTCATAATGAAGTCTCATTACAAGTAAATAATATTTACTGGGTTTCTAACTACTACAATATGCTGTCAGAATGTCGTTGTGATTTCACTGATCACTAATTCATGTCACGGTGGAACATTTTCTCCTACTTCAGCACCACAGACAGATTTCAGTGATGTACCGCTCAGTAGTTTCTTTAAAAATTGTGGTCGCCATGGCTATGACTGTGCAGAAACCAGGTTTGGCAAGAAAGCGCAGCCTCTCCTGTGCACAGTTTCCATGGTGTGCTGCCTGTGTGTGTGTGTGTGTGTGTGTGTGTGTGTGAGGCTGGTTAATGACTCAGCCACAGAGTCAAACAGTTAAAAAATGTCAAGCAACATTTTGAATTATTGCAGCTTTTCCGTTGCAGTTCATGTTCATGTCGCCATGCTCGGACAATTATATTATTCATTGAATAATGATTGATGGTGAAGCTACAGTAAATAGCTGCCATCTCAAAAGCTAAATTCTGACTGTGTAGGTAGGTGTAGATGCGTCATCACAGTTTAACTTGCATTAAATTCATTTCACCAAATATGAAATTTGGAATTACTATAATTTGCTTTTCAACCATGCATGCAATAACTGTGGGAAACGGATTGAAAATGAAATGGGGGTTCCTTTAAGGTCATGTCCTCAGGAGGTGTCTGGTGTTGATCAAAGGCAGCTGAAGGCCTGACAGCAGGAAAAATATTTTGGAACAGGTAGAACATAACAAGGTTTGAGTGTGATTAGTTAACAAGACTTCAGCACTGTTTGCTAAGAAATGAAAATCAAAAATGTTACACACAAGAAGTAAAGGCTGAGTGAGCTAACCTTTACCGAGTGATGCGATTCATCTTCTTGAAAGTTAAAGCATTGCATATGCAATTAACATCACTGTGCTTGTATTTATCAACCACAGCAACAAGAAATGTAATCCTTATTAGGCTGTATGCATTAAGATATGATAATTTTGCTCACAGTTCTGGAAAAATAGACTTTATGCTGAAAAGATCACCGCAAGTCAGTTCCACTTTGCATCTGGTAAACCTGCTTTTAAGTGTCGTACAGCTCATCCTACCAGGAATTGGGTTTCAAACTAAATACACACCTAGGTTTATGCAGGTGGTCTGACTGAGGGGCTCAAATACAAATATTCCAGGACAACATGGATTGTTTCCAGGAAATTTGGTCATTTTAATCAATTTCCAGGTGTTTTCATGACTGGAAAACTAGTTTCTAAATTTTTTCAGGATGCGCGGGAACCCTGTTGGTGATAAACAGTTTGCTTAAATATTACAAACAGTCTTCGAGCAGCTACTTCGACAGAAATACATCAGAAGAGCAGCTGGCGTATCTTTTTACAGTGCTGTAGTGCAGTTGTTTTGTAGATGCATTTTGATGTGCTGTCAGTGCTAACCTCTGTGCCAAAAACATTGAGATTCCTGTCACTGCTTCACAATAAAAGCCAGTGTTTCACCAGCAGGAAATGTTGGGTTTGCATTAGCAGTTATTCAACAGAGTTTGGATAGCTGTAGGACAGTGAACAGTAAACAGTGAAGCTGATATCAATAAAATAAAATTACAAAGATGAATTCTGGATTACATGCTCCATCGTTTCCTGTCATCCCTTGTGTGTTGGTAGGCAATCTGAAACTGGGGCTTCAGGGGCCCTTTGTGCACTGGGGCACAGAGGGGTACTGCTTTTCCTGTTCTAAGGAATTTTGGAAGCAAATGCAATTTACTGACCACAGGGTAAAGTATTGTTTCATTTCATTTAGGTGTCTCCAAACTTCCCTAGAATGTGACTTGGAGAGACACTTAGAGGCACTTACTGAGCAAATGTTTATTCTTGTTGTTATGTCGTATCTATGTATGTATGTACAGACTG